GCGGGTTGGTGGGTAGATATCGTCCTGGAAATACTCCTTCTGCAGTAGCAAGGGGCAAATACTCCTGAGGGGGGTCCCCTGCCTCCTACCCCCTGCCCAAAACAGCCCAGTCCCCACTGCCTACCTTGACCCGTGGCACGTGGAAAGCCACCGGCTCAAGGGTGCTCTGCCCAAGGCGCAGTGCCCGGGCAAACTCTACCTCCTGCACCTCGCACGCTGTTTTGGGCAGGAAGACGAAGCCCTGATGGGGTGGAGACATGAGCAGGGCCTGCTGTGGGTCTGGCAGGGGGGGCAGGGAGCTTTCCCCCCTTTACCTTGTGGGGTTCGTTGGAGGTGAAGCTGTTGCACTCGAGGAAATAGGGGGGCTCCGGCGCTATCTCATAGAGGAAGACTCTGGTGTCACCCTGGGGATGGAGCAAGATGGGGGCTGGCAGGGGATGCATAGAGGGTCCCTCTGCACTGTTGGGGTGCTGCAGGCAGGTTGCCCTCCCAATTTCTTGGAGGGGCAAACCCTCACCTTGCCAGTGAGGAAGACAACGCTGGTGTCCTCATCATAAAAGGGAAGGAGGGTGGAGGGGGCCACGTCGAGGCCAAGGACAGACAAAGGTCCCTCGGACAGGGCCTGTGCCCGGTACAGGAGGATCCTCCTCTCGCTGCGGCTGCAGGGAGGTGACAATGGGGAGGGGCATGGCATCACTTGGAGGCCCCTGCCTCAGGGAGGAACGGCTGTGTTTCATCTTACCTATCAAAGCCAGACACCAGGAGGTAGTCGCTGCCACAAACCCAAACCAGGCGTGCTCCACGGCCCCCCTCGGGACCTGGACCCTCCTGCAAGGGGGAAGGTCATCCTGCCTGCTCAGGGACAGCTGGGGGTGCAGGCATCTGTCCACACCCCCTCGCTCTCCAGCCCGTCCCCACCACTGTGATGGTACCTGTTGAGGCTGAGGGGTGCGGCGGGGCTCATAGAGCCGTAACCGGCCGTCTTTGCTCACTGTCGCCAGCTTCTTCCCATCAGGGCTCCAAGCCAGGCTGAAGATCTGGGGAGATAAATATTGTCTCCCCCTTCATGCCCCTTGCCCAGCCAAATGCACCTCTTGGGCATAGCCAGGTGTGTCATCCCTCACCTGATCGGTGTGTCCCTGCAGGCACAAGGCTTCCTGCCCGGTGCTCAGCTCCCAGATCCGCACGGTCATGTCGTAAGAGGAGGAAACCAGGAGATCAGATGCCATGGGGTGGAATCGGATGGAGTAGATCTTCTCCGTATGACCTGGAAAGGGCAAGTGGTACATAGTTGTTCCCACCTGTGCTGGACGGGGACACCACTGGCCTGGTCTGTCCCCAGTGCTTGGTGCTCGGTGCTCCTCCCTGTGCACCCCTCACCTCGGAGGACAACTTCAGGCTCCTGCAGTGTCTCTTGCAGGCCTCCCTTGGGGATCCGCCACAGCCGGATCTTGGCGTCTTCGCCCGCTATGGCACCAAAATGGATGGATAGTGGTTAATACGATGATCTAGCACACCCGGTGGCAGGGTACAAGTCCCATGTGTTCCAGGGACGGCAGGCATACCGACAGCGAGGCGCTGTGGGTCGAAGGGGTCCCAGGAGAGGTCGGCCACCGCTGCGCCGTTCTGGATGGTGGGCATGGCCGTGTCAGGGAGACGGCCTGGCTTGGAGAGCTGCAGGACAGAGCCAGGGTATCGCTTGCATGGCTCCCACCGGCACCGTGCTGGCCCCAGCACCACACCAGGGGTACCTCAAGGACGGCAATCTGGCCACCGGCAGAGAGCAGGGGGAGGGCGACGCGCTGGTGGTTGGCGCAGAAGCCATCGCACTCGCCCGGCGTGGTGAGGCTGAGCCCCCGCAGGTTGGTGAGGTGGGTGTCGCGGTGCAGCACTCGGCCCTGCGTGTGCCGGAAGCGGGAGCTGGGCCCTGGCGTGAGCAGGGGATGGGTGAGCACCCTGGGTCCCCCTCAGTGTGTCCCCAGCCAGGGGACGCCGAGCCCACCCTGCTGCCTGCTCACCCAAAATGCTCTGCAGCGACTTCTGGCTAGGGCTGCTGACGAAG